CAACAATTCAGTTTTCCTGCCACCTTTGTATTCTGTGAGGTTTTAAAGTTTCTTTGGGGATCTGAAATAATAATAGAATTAAGAATACACTTAGAAAAGAGCATCAGACTAACAGGAGCCCAAAAGCTCTTATCTGCTACATGGTGCATTAGAAATTGCAAAGCTTTTACCCAAAGATGGCAGTTTCCATCTTCTTTTTAACACGAAACCTGGCTTTCAGACTATTTTGTTAGATTAACCGTCAACTGTCTGCCTTTCACATTTCTGGCAGAAGGACTTTTTTCATCTTGTGCTTTGTAAGAAAATTCTTGTAGGAGATCATTCTAAAACATACATATCCACACTGAATCAAAAAACGTAGGCTGCCGAAACCTAAGATTTTTATGTACAGGTCATTTTGATGCGTTGCTCAGAACAGATGTATAAAATACATAGTCTCTCTGATATCTGCATTAAGCAAAGACTCCAAGTTGGTATGATATTTTGAAAAACAGCATGGCAGAACAATATTGTATGGATATAGATGGATATTCTCTACCAATTGTAAGAAAAAATGTATGCATCCAGGAAGTTACATTGGAAATTGAGGGGGTGGGTGGTGGTTGTTAAATTTTCTATCTGGAATGACAATAAAAGCAGAATATCCAGTTTAAAAATATTGGAGACATGGCAGATTTGGAACCTTGAGAAAATGCTGAGGTTCCGTCATAAATATGTCTGCTGTTGAAGGCAGGAGAAATGTACATCGACAAAATACACTACAATGATCCGAAATAATCTGAGAAAGCAACTTGCTGAGCCTATAATACAAAGTCTGTAGATCAATGTTCCTTGGCAACTTGAAGATGTGTGGACTCCAATTCCCATGTTCCCCAGCCAGCCATGTTCTGGGAATTAAAGTCCACATATCCTCAAGCTGCCAAGATTGAGAAATATTGTTATAGTTATACATGTGTAATACAAAGTCCTAATGGAATGGAGCAACCTGGAAATGTAGCATGCTATACATGGCAACATTTTTATGACAGGATGCACTTGTTCAATGGATTTATTAATAATGTAAGGATGGTTTTGGTGACTGGGTTGATAAGAAAGAAGATCTTTGCTGCCCAATATTTAGTTTCTAATTGTTGGGAAGTCTAAAGTAGGGTCTAGACCAGGGCTTTTCAACCTTTTCACCCATTGTACCACTTTTAGGATATGGCAATATCCGAGTACCACCAATTGCCTAGCAAGGTGTCAAAAACTTGATGACCAAAAAAAAAAAAAGGAAAAAAGTGATAAAGTACAGGTAGTCCTCGACTTACAACAGTTTGCTTAGTGACTGTTCAAAGTTACAATGGCACTGAAAAAAGTGCCCCCCAAGGCACAGCCAAGCAAGACACCTGCCTGCCCACCCAGTGGCGCTCTTCCTCCTGTCCGAGGTTTTCATTGTTGTGAGCATGTCTGTTGAGGATTGGCAGCGGGGGTGGGATGGGGGGGTGTTTGGTTTTTATTCCCCCATCTGCTGGGTGGTTGCAGCAGGTTTTGGTCACTTCACATGACTCTGGACACTGTGACCACCATAAATATGAATCAGTTGCCAAGCATCTGAATGTAAATCACAAGACCCTGGAGATGCTGCAACATTCCAGCTGATTGGCGCTTCTTCTGGGTTCAGCGGAAGTGCTAGGATCAGCACTGAGCTCCAGCTGGAGCCTGGCACTGATCCTGGCGCTTCCACTGAGCCCTGACAGTCCTGAAGAAGCGCTGATCTTGGTGCTTCCGCTGAGCCCTGATAGCCCTGCAGCTCCAGCCATCTCTTGCTCAGGCTTGTGCGGTGCTGCCACTGGTTCAGCTCATTCCCCTCTCCCGCTACCACTTTTCTAGGATGGTCCCGTATCACCTGCCAAGTGCCAATGTACCACAAGTGGTACCTGTACCACTAGTTGAAAAGCCCTGGTCTAGACCACAGGTGTCAAACTCGCGACATCGCATGACATGTCGCGACATGTCGTGACTTTTTACCCATTGCAAGCAATGCGATGGGTATGGTTTTGGCATGATGCATCCAGCCCACGGGCCAGCAGTTTGACACCCCTGGTCTAGACTATAACAACAGTATCCTTGAGAATATAGAATGGGTTGTTAAATGTGCTATGTAATCAGTGTTGCGATTTGTGTATAATTTCCCTGCAAGGATCAAAGGAGAGTAACATTCTCTGTTGTTTCCTCATGCACTTCTTTTAAATTTTTAATTGTAAGATAATCACTGCCAGAATCATTCTGGAGTCAGGTAGCCTCAGAATTGAAATATTAAATCAAATAAATATTCAGTAAAAACAGCGAGCAGCGCTTCCCTAACTACATCTGAATTCATGATCTTGGCATTAAAAAGAGCGCAGATATCCAACTTGCAAAAGTGTCCCAGCTGCTGTAATGAGAAGCCACTGATGTGATTTTGAATTCTGGCCTATTTGCCAACTTTTTTTTTTTCATTGCTCAAAGGAGGCTCCAACAATCAGCGGTAACAGAAGAGAAATATCAGATATCTTCATAACTACTTCCTCTGCTTGCTCACAATTCCGGATTTTTTCGTACATCCATCTGCCTTTCTCCCCAGGAGAACGGAACAGGCATTCTGTCATCCATAATAACTTGGCAGATGTCCCATTCAGCAGGAAGGATTTTGCTCTTAAACATAAAGCTGGCCAAATGGGAAGCCGAGAAGATGGCAAACAACGTGAACAGCATGGTGGCTATCTTGAATGGAAAGAGCTGGACATAAACACCTTCCACAACTGTGCATCCTGGGTAACAGATAACAGGGGCGATTTTCAGGGCTGGTTCTCCTGCCAACAGCCGTAGAAGAAAGCCAAGGAAGAACCCAACCGCTGAGCCGTAGGTGTTGGTGCTGGGAAGAAACAGAGCACAACACAACTGGGGAAAGAGGAGAGTGTATACGAGCTCTCCACTCAAGAACCAGAGGTCATAAATCGAATGGGAGTAGTAAGCCAGAACTGCTGAAATTATCCCAAAGATCACAATGGAGAGTCTCATTGCCCATATGACATTTTTCTCTGATGCCTGTAAAAAATCAAAGGGAGGGAATGGAAAAGGGAGAAAAAAATTGCATCCAAATTAAAATGGGTGCAAACTCATTAACAGGCTGAATGTTGCATATTGGCCCCAATCTCCTAAAAAAAGAATGGGTCGACATTTTTCAAGGTTCTTCTTTCATTCATAAAAAATATGCACTTATTACAAACCTGATGTATACAGATAGGCCTTGACTTTGGACCAAATTTGAGCCCCAAATGTATGTTGCTAAGTGAGACGGTTGTTAAATGAGTTTTGCCCCATTTTACAACCTTTGTTGTCACAGTTGTTAAGTGAATCACTGCAGTTGTTAAGTTTTTTAACACAGTTGTTAAGTGGCTTCTCCATTGACTTTGCTTGTATGAAGGCCGCAAAAGCTGATCAGGTGACCCTGGGACACTGCGACCATCATAAATATGAGCAGTTGCCAAGCGTCCAAATTTTGCTTATGTGACCATGGGGATTCTGCAAAGGTTGTTAAGTGTGAAAAATAGTCATAAGTCACTTTTTTTCAGTGCCCTTGTAACTTTGATCAGTAAATGACTCGTTGTAAGTCAAGGGCTACCTGTACAAAGAGAGCTAAATCAAAAAAAGAATAGTTAGCATCAGAAAAGAGAAAGGTCAGAATGCTAGAGAAAATGTAAAGAAGTTCTTAAGTTGCATTCAGAATAAAAAGAAAAGAACCAGAAAGAAGATAGCAAAATGCTAACAGGACACAGAAAAGGCATTGCTGCTTTGCGGGTTGGTTTTCCCCAACTAAAAACTAAGGATGCCCCTAGGAAATTGTGAAAAGCAGGAGAAATGAACAGGAAGGAAAATTGAGGCTTCTAGACTAGAGACATAGTTTTGACTTGCCTCTTTATTTTGAATTAGTTTAAAACTCCATGACTAGATTAATTGCATCTGTGTCTAATGAACAAACTAGTTATGGGGAGAGGATCAAAGTCTCCGTGAAAGTGGGTATGCTATTGTGATTGAAGCTTCACCCTCTTTGTATGTGGCAGGATTTTGCATGTGGTATCTTGCCTGCCATTTTGTACATTTGGGGTTTTAACACATCTGTCATGCTTCCAATTAATGACCATTTTTAATAAATTTGATTAAAATTTTAATAGTGTAAAATGCAAATGAGAGTAAAGACAATAAGGAAATGGGAAAGGATAAGAAAGGGAGAGAAGTGTAGGGTAAAGGAGAAAAAAAAAGCATTCCAACTTGTTTCAGTGCAGTAAAATACAAAATAAAATTACAACCTCAACTTTTTTACCAACTTGGTCATTACTAGCCATTTCCATAACAAGCTACTAGTCTAATCAGGAAAACTCAAAGTCAGGAGTTCATTTTATTTCTGTCTCGAACAAAAAGTCCAGTAGTGGGTTCCCATTTATGACCATTTTAAATTCTATCCACTCAAAGGTATATGACTATTGAGGAAGCTTTAAATATTAGGAGGTTTTTTTTTTTAAAAAAAGGAATTTCTCATACACTGTTATATAAGTAGTCCATGACTTATGTCCACAACTGAACCCGAAATTTATGTTGCTAAGCGAGACAGTTGTTAAGTATGTTTTGTCCCATTTTATGACTTTTCTTGCCACAGTTGTTAAGTGATTCATTGCAGCTGTTAAATTAGTAACACACTTGTAAAATTAATCTGGCTTTCCTACTGACTTTGCTTGTTAGAAGACTGCAAAAGCGGATCACATGACCCCGGGACACTGCCGCTGTCATAAATATGAATCAGTTGCCAAGCATCCGAATTTTGGTCACATGACCATGGAGATGCTGCAATGGCCATACGTATGAAAAATTCACTTTTCCTTGTGACTTTGAATGGTCACTAAACAAATGATTGTAAGTTGAGAACTACCTGTAATAATGTTCTTGTATCATTTAACAATCAGTCACTTACCTTTCTCCAGAATATTTTTCGGTAGATGTTGTGAGCAAACATGGAACCGGCAGAGAGCAACGCAGAATCTCCTGAAGACATTACAGCAGCTGCTATGGCACCCAAGCCACCGATGGAAATGTAAGTTGGGCAGAGATGCTGAAGGACTAGTGGAAGTATGAGGGCAGATTCATTTCTTTCATTTGGGGTGGGTAGACCATAGTCAGTCTGGTTCCAGTCTCAAAAAAGAAATATAGAAGTGTCATTTTCAAAACATCGGTTCAGAATTGAATCAGCCATGACATCAGCTGCAAACAGACAGAAGTCACTTTTTCAATGCAGCTGTAACTTTGAACAGTCACTAAACCAGGAATAGGCAACCTTGGCTCTTTTATGACTCAGGCTGGCTCAGGAATTCTGGGAGTTGAAGTCCACGAGTCATAAAAGAGACAAGGTTGCCTACCCTTGCACTAAATGAACTGTTATAAGTTGAGGATTATCTGTCATATATAGTATATTCGCAATGGAAGTATGGTCTTTGAAATTAATGGCAAAACTGACTGCTTTGCCCAGAGACAATAGCATGAATAAATTTCTTTTGACTTAGAGATATTGATAGATTTCTTATAAGACAAGGTGAAAAATCAACTTTTGAGGATTAAATTTAATCTACAAAAGAAAGGTTAGTTCTTTAAATATATGATTATTCATATTTGATCCTTAAAATTTGAATCAAAAGTCTAGCTGCTGCATGGATGCAATTGGGCTAGGTGACCTTTGAAGTCCCTTTTTCACATAAGTTATTCTATTTATTGTCTTCTTTTATTGATTGAATTACAGTAGTTTTAATATTGTTTTTCTTCTATGCTATTTTGAATACATTTTGTGAGATATTACATACACATTGACCAGATTTCTAGGCAGCTATCCAAGATGATACGCATGGTAGCTTAAGCATCTTCCCAAAATTATTTTTTTGCAAAATGATAGACATTTCACAGGATCACCAGATAATATGAGATTGTACACCTGACCATGTAGATTCTGTCAAGAATGCTAAAATTGGATGACACACCAGCATTTTCACCTGAGATATTACTGTATTTTCTGGCGTATAGGACAACTTTCTAAACCATGAAAATCTTCTCAAAAGTTGGTGGTCATCTTATACGCCGGAAAATACGGTACTAGTCGTGCCCCATATCACACAAAGCTTCATCAAAGAAGGTGGAAACCTTGTGGAAATGTTGGAGTTGTTCATGTGAGGTAATTTCTTACCCACTTCTTCATTAGTGAAAAAAAATGGCAAAGCAGGATTAATTTTAAAAAAAAAATCAAAAATGTTGTGAGTTGACCAGAGGAGAAATGGGTAGGCCAGTTTTCTCAGAGATTCTGTGTTATTGGTCCTGTTTTTTAAATTGAGGTTTAAAAATACAAAGATTAAAAAAAATGCAAACTAAGAAAATATTTTTTAGCTTCCTCAAAGTCAGCTCTATATTCCTTTATATGTGATACTACTTTGTGTTAATAATTCTTTTTACACCAGGGCTCCTTGAACTGCTTAGGATATAAGAGTTTATTCAACATTTGTTCAGAACAGTGTTTCTCAATCTCAGCAACTTTAAGATGTAAAGACTTCAACTCTCAGAATCCGGGGAGAATTCTGGGGAATTCTGGGAGTTGAAGTCCACACATCTTAAAGTTGCTGAGGTCGAGAAACACTGACATAGAGGAACGACCCTCCTAAAGTCGGGCAACAGCCTTACAGGTAGTCCTCGTCTTACAAAAGTTTATTTAGTGACTGTTCAAAATTACAAGGCACTAAAAAAAGGGACTGATGACCATTTTTCACCCTTATGGCCATTGCAGCATCCTCAGGGTCATGTGATTTATATTAGGATGCTTGACAACTCACTCACATTTATGATGGTGTCCCAGAATCATGTGATCCCCTTTTGCGAACTTTTGACAAGCAAAGTTAATGGGGAAACTAGATTCACTTAACAACCATGTTACTAATTTAACCACTGCAGGGGTTCCGTTAATAAATGTGGTAAGAGAAGTCGTAAACTGGGGCAATGCTCACTTCACAAATTTTTCACTTAGCAGCATACATTTTGGGCTTAATCGTGGTCATAAGTCAAGGACTACCTGAACTAGGGCTGAAAGTGCTACTTTTCCAGTTTTTATTCAGCCATGGTTACCTGTGGAGGCAGCAACTGCTCCTATCAATACAGAAGGGATAGCCATAATGAAACAGCCCAATCCAGAAAAATAGGAAATTAGTCTGGCTTCTTTGTGGGAGGAAGCCGCAAGAACTCGCTGGAAATAGATTTGCCATGGGATGCTCCCAAGCACCTGGAAGAAAAATAGAATCTTGAGCGGAACTGGAATAAAAACAGATAGGACCGTATTCTTGATCTTAGCCAAAAAGTCAGAACTTAAACCAGATTGTCTTTAACGTAACAATAGGCATGACTCTGGGAAGTTTATCTAACATGAAGCATGATGAGCAATTCTGGTAGCATCTCCATAGCTTGCTTTCTAGATCATGCTAGAATATCTAGTCTTCGTTTGCCTTTCCTAAAGCAAACAAACATTCCAACCTGTCAGCCCTGACACTATTAATTGCATTTCATCTTTAATTTAGAAATGTATTTTTCTTAATGTCTTGTGGAAAAGCAATTTTCCAGCCCTCTAGAAGCGAAAGGGCGGCATGTGCATCTCCCTTTTCAGTTTGGAACTATCTAGGATTGGGTAGGCAACCTTGGCTCTTTTATGACTCATGGACTTCAACTCCCAGAATTCCTGAGCCACCCACGCTGAGTGGAAAGGGAGAGGTTTCCAAGCTGAGCCATGCTGGCTCAGGAATTCTAGGAGTTGAAGTCCACGAGGTTGCCAACCCCTGAATTCTAGGACATTTTGTGTATATATTACACTATTTATTTAATCCCTTTTTGTGGAGTGAATTTATCATATCAACAACATGCCCCACATATCTTTTTTTTAAATAAAAAAATAGTGTTCTTTGTGATGAGAAGAATATGGTTTGCTCTTAATTTAGAAGAACATGTGTTTTGATTATTTAGTTGGATACAGTAAGTATGTCAAATTTCCCATCCACTTCAGGAACAGATCTTACCAAATATAAGAAATCATCAAACCATCTTCCGTAAAACTCTGTTTCTATTTTTCCAATCCAAGGTGCTTGGGATATATTTTGAGAAGCTGTATAAAAGATATTTTCTGTAGCAGGGTTCATGATGGCAAAAGGGATACAAATCCACTGGCAGCAAAAACAGAAACATTAGCATTAAAACGTTTTCGGAAGGGTTTCTGATAGTCAAAATATTCCGTGCGTCCACAGTCATGATACTGAATTAATTTTAAAAATGTAAACGAATTGCAATAGCATCACCTGCTGCTTTCATGTCTTAATCCCACCTACTTCTGTGTTATGACTCCACCCACTTTTTTGTACTTGGCCCTTCCACTTAAATCAGATCCTGCCTCTACTCTAAGTGTATCATGGCTACTTCACGGTTTTATTCATGTAGTGCAGTGGTTCTCAACCTGTGGATCGGGACCCCATTTGGGGTCGAACGACCATTTCACGGGGGTCGCCAAACAACGCAGTCTGCCATCTTTTCCCCCTTTTCCTTAGCTGTGCTACTCCCTTTTATTCTATTGGCTTTTGAAAGCCAATAGAATAGACTCTCTTGAATAGAGTCTAATTCTATTGGCTTTCAAAAGCCAATAGGAATTGTCCAGGCTGTCTCTGCCCTGCTGAGCCTGCCAAAAGTCCCATTCTGCAAACGGTGCTGCACCAGTTCAGTAGTCCTCGACTTATGACCGGTTGAGTAGTCCTTGACTTACGAACAGTTGGGGGTCGTGGCATTAAAAAGGTTGAGAACCACTGATGTAGTGTCTTTTTTCTATGAGTGCTCTCGTCTGTTCTGTCGGGTTAATTTGGGTAATGAAACGTCTGCAAGGGGAAAAAAAAAAGCTCAGAGAGCACTAAGGACACCTCATTTCAACCTTGAGCTACAAATATTTTCCTTTATTGGTTCAGATTATCTCCCATGTCATCTATTGGCATCTCAAAGATCAGTGCTTCTCAGCCTTGGCAACTTTAAGCTATATGGACTTCAACTCCCAGAATCCCCCAGCCAGCATGCTAGCTGGGGAATTCTGGGAGTTGAAGTCCATATACTGTATTTTAAAATTGCCAGGGTTGAGAAATCCTGTCATAAGCAATGAAAGTTTCCTGGTGTCTCATTCTGGATTTTCAATCACTCCCAATAGTTCAAGAGAGTGGTAATATAACAAGATAGGAACTTACCAGACTGAGCAATAGAAAGATCAGTTGTATCACATCTGTGTATGCCACTGAATACAGACCTCCTAGCAAAGTATACAATATCACCGTACATGCAGAAAGAATGATGGCAACATAACCCTGGATGTCCAAAATGACCTTCATGGTTGCTCCTAGGAAAAGATGCAGTAATTACTATTCAAATGCAGTAATACATTTTGTGCTATGCCATTTCTTTTACCCAAATATATTAATTTACAGGTAGTCCCCGATTTATAACCACGATTGAACCCAAAATTTCTGTTGCTAAGTGAAACTCAGTGAATTTTCCCCATTTTACAAACTTTTGCCACAATTGTTAAGCAAAACACTGCAATTAAGCAAGTAAAAGGGTTGTTACTTGCGTCTGGCTTCTCTATTGACTTTGTCAGAAGGTCGCAAAAGGGGATCACATGGCCCTGGGACAATGCAACTGTCATAAGTACATGCCAGTTGCCAAGCATCCAGATTTTGCCTGGGGGATGCTGCAAAGGTCATAAATGTGAAAAATGTTCATAAGTCACTTTTTTCAGTGCCGTTGTAACTTTGAGCGATCACCAAATGAATGTTTTAAGTTGAGGACTCCCTGTATATGATTTACAAAATAACTTCCATTTGTAACAAAAGCGTAGTCATTGTTATAAAAAATTCTGCTCTTAGGATTCTCACTTTTGGGGCATTCCACTGAAATTCTGGGAGGTGAAGTTGACCCACTAGGAGGGGACCAGGTTGATCTATGAATTATGAATTGCTAGAGTCAAAAAGTCACACATCAATTCTATTTTCATACGTTAAATGGCCATCATATTCTATGATCTCCATTCCTAAAATGGTTGTCATACTGAATGACCTTAGATGAAATATTAGAAGCAACCTAGAACTAAGGAGAAATTTTCTGACAGCTAGAACAATTAATCAACCTGCCTCCAGAAGCTCTGAATGCTCCAACACTGGAAGTTTTTAAGAAGAGGTTGGACAGCCATTTGTCTGAAATGGTATAGGGTTTCCTGCCTGAACAGGGGGTTGGACTAGATGACCTCCAAGGTCCCTTCCAACTTTTTATTATTATTGTTGTTGTTGTTGTTATCTGTATACAGACAGTCCTCGACTTACAACCACAATGGAGCCCAACATTTTTGTTGTTAAATGAGACATTTGTTAAGTGAGTTTTGCCCCATTTTATGACCTTTCTTGCCTCAGTGGTTAAGTCAGTCCCTGCGGTTGGTAAATCAGAAACCCTGTTTGTTACTAGCTTAATTGCAGTGATTTACTTAACAATTGTGGCAAAAGTTTGTAAAATGGGGGAAAATTCACTGAATAACTGTCTCACTTAGCAACAGAAATTTTGGGTTCAGTTGTGATTATAAGTCGAGAACTATCTGTAAATTAATATATTTGGGTAAAAGAAAGACTTTGCTTTTCAGAAGTTCACAAAAAGTGATCATATGATTTTAGGACACAGCAACAATCATAAATATGAACCAGTTGCCAAGTGTCTAAATTTTGATCACATGATTATGGGGATGCTGCAAAGGTTTTAAATGTAAAAAACAGTCATAAGTCACATTTTTCAGTGCTGTTTTAATTTTGAATGGTCACTAAATGAACTGTTGTAAGTCAAGGACCATCTGTATTCTTATCTCATACAAAACAGCTAGTATGCTGTTCAAAACTATTCTTACACTGAAGTACTCAAGACTGCAGGGAGGAATTACAGCATAATTGAATAACCCTCTAAAATATTAGTATTGGGAATAAAGTACTTTTAAAACATCTAACACTCCAGTTTATGTATGTGCAAAAGTGTTCTCTCTTCACCTCTAGATCTGAATTACAGATTTCTATGGTGCTTCTAAATTATTTAGAGAAAATCCTTCTGTTTTCTCATCTCCTTATCTCCTGTTTATACTGTATACTAGACTTCAGAAATGTGATGCAGATGGAGATTGGAGCTACAAATATCCTCTGAACATGCCTTCGGTAATCAATAAATCACTTATAGGATGGAACGTTAATCTCAGCTGTATTCCCTTGGTTTCCAGGTGGCTAAATTTAGTTTCTGCCAAGACAAATGAAAGACACCATATTACCTAAAGAGGCAAGAACAGCAGCAAACCAGAATATGTCCGCAATCAATGGAGGAATAAAAAGAAGACAGCCCATCACGTTCCCATACATCTCTTGAATTGGATCCATCAGAGTCAGGTAATTTCTCTTTCTCATTGGATTGACAAAAAAGAAGCCACCTGTTTTTTTTTAAAAAAAGTTGTATTACAATCAGTTATCTTTACAAATGGAAAGGCATCATAGTGCTTCACAGTTCAGGTAAAGGTAAATGTTTCCCCTGTCCAGTTGTGTCCGATGCTAGTGCTCATCTCCGTTTCCTAGCCGAGGGAGCCAGCATTGTCCCAGGACATTTCCGTGGTCATGTGACCAGCATGACTATACGCTGAGCTGCACGGAACGCTGTTACCTTCCCACCAAAGTTGTACCTATTAATCTACTTGCATTTCCATGCTTTCAAACGGATAGATTGGCAGGAGCTGAGGCAAGGATGGGAGCTCACCCCATTGCAAGTGTTGGGGTTTCAAACTGCCCACAGCCGAGTATTTTAACTGCTAGGCCACTGCAACCCTCTTTTGCAGTTCAAGATGCTGATTATTATCCTGCATGGGACAAACCCATCTCTCCCCAAGTATTTCTATTCATCTCATCAGATTTGACAGGATGGGTGCACCATAATTTCCCTGTTTTAGAAAATGTTATCTGGTGGATGGGGCCTAGGAGCCATGCCTCCTCTGTTCCAAAACCTACCCTAGGCAATAACCTCACTGTTGAGATCTGCGGTAGAAGACCCCAACCTTCCTGGTCTCCTAGAACAGTGGTTCTCAACCTTTTTAATGCCGCGACCCCCAACCGGTCGTAAGTCGAGGACTACTCAACTGGTCATAAGTCGAGGACTACTCAACTGGTGCAGCACCGTTTGCAGAATGGGACTTTTGGCGGGCTCAGCAGGGCAGAGACAGCCTGGACAAATCCTATTGGCTTTTGAAAGCCAATAGAATTAGACTCTATTCAAGAGAGTCTATTCTATTGGCTTTCAAAAGCCAATAGAATAAAAGGGAGTAGCCACAGCTAAGGAAAAGAGGGGGGAAAATGGCGGACTGCGTTGTTTGGCGACCTCCGTGAAATGGTTGTTCGACCCCAAATGGGGTCGCAACCCACAGGTTGAGAACCACTGTCCTAGAAGATTGTGAAGTCCAAGAAGCAGTGGACCAGTATGTTACTTGAGCCCAATACAGGTAGTCCTCGACTTATTACCACAATTGGGCCCAGAATTTATGTTGCTAGGTGAAAAACCTCTTAAGTGAGCTTTGTCCCATTTTATGTCTTTTCTTGCCACATTTGTTAAGTGAATCACTGCCGTTGTTAAATTAGTAACACGGTTGTTAAATGAATCCAGCTTCCCCATTGACTTTGCTTGTCAGAAGGCCGCAAAACGTGGTCACACATCCCCGGAACTCTGCAACTGTCATAAATATGAACCAGTTGTCAAGCATCTCAATATAAATCACGTGGAGATGCTGCAATGGTCATAGATGTGAAAAACAGTCATAAGTCATTTTTTTCAGTGCTGTTGTAAATTCAAACAGTCAACAGTCAATAAACAAACTATTGTAAGTCGAGGACTACCTGTATAGGTGTGGCGTGAGTCTGTTATGGTGGCTTGGCTATTGTATTATGGTTTTATGATTATTTGTTATTTATTGTTATTGTTTTTGACATTTGATTTTGGTGTTGTTATTGAAATTTTGATATTTATATAGCCACTGTCCTGGACAAAACCCAGGAGTATAGTACCTCAGTAAGATGGCTCCCAAAGAGCTGTTGAGAATATGCCTGAGACAGCAGCAGACATGGGAGGAAGATCAAGCAGGAGAAGAGCCATGGCAAGGCAGGACCCTGCATGAGATGTACCATCCACAGATAGCTGAGGTGGCAGACATTAGGAAATCCTGCCACTGGCCAGGTAGATAGTTGAGGGCAGGGCAGCCATGCAGTGGCATCGGGGGCGGGAGCAGAAGCAGGGGGCAGGGCAGCGGTGTCAGGAGGCGGGGCAGCAGTGTGAGGGAGCGGGGCAGCCACAGCCCTCCACAATAGGCCCAGTTTCTCATGTGGCCCCTTGAGAAAATTAATTGCCCACCTCAGTTGAAGAGTAAAAACAAAAACAAGAGCACATAAACAGTGCAGAAAAGCTCCAGGACACAGAGAGACATTGAAAATCCTAGATAAGCTAGAACAGAAGAGTTATTGCTCGACTTGAGCTATATCAAATGAGTTTCATTTCTACGCATCTAATAAGTATGCAGTGACAGACAGGAAAGAGTGTAGTGAGATACTGGAGAGGAAAGGAAATCAGAAACAGCTTATCTCGATTCTGATGTGAAGATAACGAATCATGTCTTTTTCCACAGTGTATGAGGAAACCACCAGAAGAAATCTCAAAGTATAAGTCTATTTCAGCAATGCGCATTATAAAACTCTTTTCAGGAATGGGGTTATTGACACGGACTCTACAGAGGCTCGTGAACAAGAAGACTTCCAGAATGAGTCTTGTCCCAGGAGACAATCAATCAATCAAGAAACTACCAAACCAGCTAACAGTAAACAGCCCACTTAAAGAATCCCCAAGACTACTCCCACCAACATTGGCAGGGTAGGCCACTAGAATATCAATGGACAGCAAACCCCACTCGCCACTAATACTGGTGACGTTCCCTAGTTTGGGTAATGAAATGTCTGCAAGAAAACAACCAAGCTCAGAGAGTACCAAAGACCCCTCATTTCAATCCTGAGATACAAATATTCTCCTGTATTGATAACAAAGGAGATACAGGTAGACTCTGACTTACAACAGTTCATTTAGTGAGGGTTCGAAGTTACAACGGTGCTGCAAAAAGTGACTTATGACCATCTTTTTTTCACACTTACAATTTTTGCAGCATCCCCCTGGTCGTGTGAGTGACATTCGGATGCTTGACAACTGGTTCATATTTATGACGGTTGCCGTGTCTTGGGTGGGTCATGTGATCCCCTTTTGCGACCTTCTGACATGCAATGTCAATGGGGAAGCCAGATTCACTTAACAACCGGGTGACTAATTTAAGAACTGCAGTGATTCATTCAAGAAAGTGAGTCACCAACAAGAGACGCTGAATTAGGATAGAAAATAAATCTCAAATAATAATCATTGATTTAATATCTGCGGCAAGAAAAATGATAAAATGGGGCAAAACTCATTTAACAAATTTCTCACTTAGCAACGTGAATTCTGGGCTCAGTTGTAGTGGTAAGTGAAGGATTAGCTGTATTCTATCATTCTGACCTAAGGGTGCAAACCACTCATGTACTTTCCAACCAAATGAAATTTTGCCTCTGATCATTGACAAATGCACAAACTGGGGCAGGTAACCTGAGGTAAAATTAAACATGGAGAGAGATTTAAGTATTTTAACCAGGTGTCTATTCATTGTCTCAACCCGCACCCCGAGTTAGTTTAAGAATCTTTTAAAATCTTTACCAACAAGGAGAGACAAAGCAAAGCCAGCTGGAGCTTGAACCCACACCAGTCCTTTTGAAGGCAGGTAGACAATTTCAGCCGTGCCATTGATATAAGCTCCTCCAACCCAGGTTGCTGAAAGAAATCCAGAAAAGGGAAAATGAAATTAATAAAAGATACATGGATAATTACAGGAAGTCCTTGACTTACGGTACAACCACCACTGAGTCCCAAAGTTTTGTTGTTAAGCGAGACAGTTGCTAAGTGAATTTTGCTCCATTTTACAACCTTTTTTTGCCACAGTTGCTAAATGAATCACTGCAGTTATTAAATCAGTAATTCGATTGTTAAGTGAATCTGGCTTCCCCACTGACTTTGCTTGTAAGGAGGTAGCAAAAGGCGATCACCTGATCCACGGACATTGCAACTGTCGTAAGTATGAGTCAGTTGCCATGCATCTGAATTTTGATTATATGACCCCGGGGATGCTGCAATGGTCGTAAGTATGAAAAACAGTCATACGTTGCATTTTGCAGTGCTGTTGTAACTCTGAATGGTCACTAAATGAACTGTTGTAAGTCGAGGACTACCTGTACAAGGCAAAACATATATTGTTTTAGTCAAGTGGACTTCCCACTAAGAATCATGGACATTTTCACTGGAGACAGCTGCTGCTGAGAATTCTTTGGCTTGTATTGGATGGCTCTGCGTTTGAATGATGCAACTTCTGTCATCCACAACTGTTCTTTTTGAAATCAAAATCTTCCTATCATTGGTAATTTTCTGCTCTGTTCATTTTAGATAACTGAATGAATATTATGGACACTGGGGAAATGCTATTATTTAATCACCAACCAGAGAAACTGAATTAGATTAGAAAATAACTCTGAAATCATCATTTATTACGATCTGTTATGATTAAGGTCTAAACAACACTGTATTTGATAGTACCAATTCTGTAACGTTTCATGCAGCAAGAAAAAAAAATGTGCTTCATGCATTCTTAGGATACACTGCTAGGCTCCATCACTGGCTGGCTCAGGAATTCTGGGAGTTGAAGTCCACGAGTCATAAAAGAGCCAATGTTGCCTACCTCTGGTGTAGGGTTTCCTGCTTGAGCAGGGGGTTGGACTAGAAGACCTCCAAGATCCCTTCCACCTCTGTTATTCTGTATTTCTGTAAACACACTTATGAGGCAGTAAACCTCAATGCATTAAATCACCTATTATTTACTTAATATGCTTTGCTGCCTTTCAAAGCTATGGCCTTTTCAAAGTGGTTTATTGCGCATTTTAAAAACAAGCCAGCTAAATTACCTAAAGCCTTTTTTGACTTGAAAGAGGACTGGGAGTTGAGGGATTATTGGCGTGAACGTAACCAAGAGGAGAGAGATTTTACCTTCTTCTCAGATAGACACCAATCTTTTTCAAGGATTGATTTTTTCTTGATTACAACAGACCTATATAATAGGGTAAAGAATGTAAAAAATTTTCCTAGGTCACTGACGGATCATAGTCCAATTGGGATGGAATTGGTTGTTGAAAAAGAGGAGAGGAGATCCTGGAAGATGAATGAGAACTTATTTAAACAAGAAAAAAATGTTCAAAAATTAAAGGAGTGCTTAAAGGATTACTTTGTTTTAAATATGTATAAGGGTACATCAATATCAATGGTATGGGATGCAGGTAAAGCCTTCATGCGTGGGATCTTGATAAAGATGAATAATGTTTATAGACAAAGGCAGATTCAGAAACGTAAAGAATTGGAAGATGAGATTAAACTAAAAGAAGTTTTTGATTTTAAATCCTTCAGATGAAAAGGTTAAAGAAGTTATAAAGCTGTTAAGAACACAATTTAATATGTTGATGGCTGATCAAGCCGCAACTAATCTAATGTTTATGAAACAAAATACATTTTGTAATGCTAATAAACCAGGGAGATGGTTGGCCTATCAATTAAGAAAGAAACAGAGACAGAGAATTATAGATAAAATAAATTATAACGGTAAATTAGTGTATCAGAAAGAGTTGATCAAGAAATCTTTTCTAGATTATTATCAGAAATTATATAAGAGTACTAATGTACAAACTTTAGATATAAATAATTATTTAAGTGAGGCTAACTTTCCTAAACTAACAGAAGATCAAAAACAAGAAATCAATGGTTTAATTACTAATGAGGAAATTGTGACAGTTATTAAGCAATTAAAATTAGGTAAAGCGCCGGGTACGGATGGTTTGACATCCATTTACTATAAAACCTTAGTAGAAGAGATGACTCAACCTTTATGTGAGCTTTTTAATAATATATTACAGGGTTCAGAGATTCCTCCGTCATGGCGCAGTGCTTTTATATCCTTAATTCCAAAAGAGGATCAAGATCTTACCTTACCAAAGAATTATAGGCCTATATCTCTCTTAAATGTGGATTATAAAATTTTTGCAAAAATTTTAGCTAATAGGTTTATGAGGGTTTTGCAGCAGCTTATACATAAGGATCAATCGGGTTTTATAACCGGAAGGTATATGAAAAATAATATTAGACAAATTATTAACTTATTAGAATATTTAGATAAGAATAACCAAATCTCTGCAGGGCTGATATTTTTAGATGCTGAAAAAGCCTTTGACCAACTGAATTGGCAGTTTATGTTAAGAGTAATTGAGGAGATGAATTTTGGAGAAAAAATATCACAAGCTCTAGGTGCTATATATCAAAAACAAACGGCACAACTTATTGTCAATCGGGGTTTGTCAGAGGTTTTTACAATAGAAAAAGGTACAAGACAGGGATGTCCATTGTCACCGTTATTGTTTGTCTTAACATTGGAAATTTTGTTGATTAAAATTCGAGAGTCGCAGGAAATAAAAGGAATAGAAGTTAACAAAAAAGAATATAAGTTAAGAGCTTTTGCAGATGACTTGGTGGTTACTCTGTCTCAATCTACTTATTCTGTAGTAAAGTTACTACAACTGATTCATCAATATGGATGTGTTTCAGGTTTTAAAATTAATAATAATAAGACTAAAATATTACCTAAAAACATGACTAATCGGGACAAGCAGATTTTGGTTAATTTAACAGATTTTGAAGTTGTTGATAAGGTAAAATATTTGGGGGTTACTTTATCTGTTTCTAATGTAAAATTGTACAAGAATAATTATGAAAAGTTGTGGATCAGGGTACAGAAAGATTTGAAGAATTGGGATAAGTTACAGTTATCTCTTATGGGTAGAATTGCAGTGATTAAAATGAATGTCCTACCAAAATTTCTTTTTTTGTTTCAAATGCTACCTATTTTAAAGAATGAGCTTAACTTAAATGAATGGCAGAAAGGCATTCATAAATTTATTTGGGCAGGGAAAAAACCAAGGGTAAAGCTTAAAATTATGCAAGATTTTCGTGAGAGGGGTGGACTCAAGGTGCCGAATTTGAAATTATATTATGATGCTGTGGCTTTAACATTGATTAGTGATTGGGTAAACTTAACAAATGTAGAAATACTCCATCTGGAGGGTTGGGATTTACTTTTTGGATGGCATGCCTACTTAATTTTTAATTAAAAAAATGGATCGAGTTTTTAAATCACATATTATAAGGATCTCTTTACTTCGGGTTTGGAGGAAGTATTATAAGAGTGATTTTAAAATACCTTTATGGGCTATACCTTGGCATGCGATAGAGGGGATAAGGAGAGGAGTTAAAATGGATAGGGTTTCTTATACACAATTACTTAGATGGGATGGTCAAAATTGGCAGTTAAAATCTTTGGAAGATTTAGTACATGAAAATATTACCTATTCATGGTTTCAATATAGACAATTAGTGGACAGATGGAAGATGGATTGTAATATGGGCTGGCTTAGAGAAGATGAAAATCTTTTTAAACAAGTAAAGGATCAAAGACAAACTCACATTAAGAGGATCTACGGGGTTCTAGTGGAATTGGTTTCAGAATCTGAATTAATCAAAGATTGCATGATTAAATGGGCACAAAATTTTGGTGAACCAATCCCACTGGATACCTGGGAAATTATCTGGGTGAGGAATGTTAAATTTACACAAGCCCAGAACTTAAGGGAGAATTTTTATAAAATGTTTTATAGATGGCACCTTGATCCACAAAAAATGTCTCTTATGTACCCTGATTTACAGCCTAAATGTTGGAGATGTGGCTGTTTGGATGCTACTTATTATCATATTTGGTGGTCGTCTAAAAATATAAAAGCTTTTTGGATTAAGATATGGTGGAATATTCAAAGAATTTTTAGAAGAAGGGTAAAATTTACTCCGCAATTATTTTTGTTAGGTATTGTTACTGATTGTGATGCTAAGGAGGTTATATTGATGTTAAATTTGATTACAGCCGCAAGGCTGTTAGTAGGGCAAT